AATTTGGCTTGGGGTTACTCTTCCAGCAGGTCAAATTTGGCTTGGGGTTACTCTGCACTCGCAGGAAGAGGACAGTGGTAAGAGCACGGTTTAAATATGTCCTAAGGAAAACCTCCCGGTTTTGGCTCCAAAGTTATTTTATGTTTGATTTTGAAAGTATTAGACTTAGGCTCATTATTCTCTAAGGAAGTCAATAGCTGTTTTGCTGAATTACAGGATATTTACTTCTCCATTCTACAAAATAAAATTCCTCTTCCCCAACCATATCCCAGCTGAGTACTTGGAATCATCAGGACAAAAATAGAAAAGAAAAAAAAATGTCTACACTGAAGATGGGAGATAATTCAGTTTGAAATGGAAAAGTAGGGAATGTCTAAATACTCACAGCAATATAATATAAATACATGACAAGGTTACAAGGTTATTCCACTCTAAAGGCATCTGAGAGTTTTAGTTCATTTGATTCATTCTGAGTGTTAGAAAGGTGCAATTACAACAACTAAGGATTTAGTTGACAAAAATAACTGTATATGGAAGATTAAATATCTGCTCGAAAGAACATGGATTTTACCTGTTTTATTCAGCAGAATCAAACCTTAAACTACAGAATTTATTTTTAATTACTGATAGTCTGGTCAGATCTGGATTAGGGACTATAAAATTAATTTCTTYCCCCCTTCCCAGACATCTCTTGAGTGAGACTCTTGGAATCCTTCCAGCTGCTGTCAGAATCCAGAAACACATGGAAGTGGGCCGATATCCTTTGGTCTTTGCTATGCCTTTGCATTAAAAACTTCATTAAAACATGGAGAACCTTTCAGAGCTTCACACACTGTGATACATATTAAGAGTTACTAATAACTTCAACCACACAATCTTTAAATTTACATTAAGATCACTAGCAATATATATAATTTAAGTTGGATGCACAAGGAAGATTTCTGCTAGTTTCAAAAATACAAGAAGGAATGAATTATCTTAAAGAGGACCATCACATTTCTGACTATTTAAATGACTGTATACAAATCATTGTATATACTATAATTCCTTGTAAGCCATTTTTCTTTGAAACAGAATATAAGAGCCAGTGTTAGCACAATGTTCTTGGTGCATTTCTAAACAAAGTAGGATTTCAGATGTACAGGAATAGAAATGAAAACAAATCTAATAAAGCTTTGTATATTTCTAAACTATTATTAAATATTGCACAACAGAAGGTAAAAAAGAAACATCCAGTATGAAAGCTGAAATAGTGTGTAAGATTACCTTGTTTTTATCAAAAGCAAGACATGCCATAAGATCATTAATTATCCTTGTGAGATTATTGATGATTGAATAGTTGCTTAAAACATCTGACATAGCTGAAATATCTGAAAACTTCTGGAGAAGATTATGTAGACTCTTTGAAAATTCAGGCACCATCAAATGCAACCAACAGTGATTAGGCTGTCAGGGGATAAAAAGAGAAACAGACGTCAATTAAATATCAGACATTTGTAAAAACTGATTAAACATCTCAATGTGCAAAGGTAAATTAGGCTGTTCTTTCCAATTTAAACTATTTCAAAAGTCTAAATTAAAATACTTCTTTAGTGTGGCAAATTTTCTCTTCAGTCCTTTGGATAATATTTCTATTCTCACTGTCACTGACATTTATGGTTATCTCTTGAATTCTATGCCTTCATTAATTTCTTAACGGATGCCAAGTGTCAGTGTTGAGAGTTTGAACCTTGGAACATGCTACTATGAACCCCAGTCCATACTTTCATTAATTAATTTATTTATATATATGTTATTTTTCAATTCCTACTGCCTTAATAATTCTTCAAATATCATTTTTTCATTCTATTATTGTTACTTTAGATGACTCAGTTAACCCCAAAGATCCTTGATTTGAATTTCTAATCAGGAAGGTTTCCATACACATTTTGCATGAAATTCCTTTGTGCTTTTACCCACTTTTAAACTAGTTAGCTGAGTTAATTCCTTCTCTTCAGCTTTTTCACTAAATGTCATTACTGGAAACAATTTCTGTATCTAAAAGCCTTTCTTTTTCCTGAGTCTTCGATGACAAAAGTGTTCTGCACAGCCTGTCAGTGTACACTAACAACTATGCAAGTTTGCAGACAAAGTTTGTACAGCTGTTCACATGACTGAAACCTATTAATTCACCTTGCTGTTTTAGAGGGAGTCGTTAACTTCTTTTACCTAGATATACAAAACAGYAGTCAAATAGATTAAAAAGTCACCCAGCCCAGGAAAATCCCTAACTCACTATGACCAGAAAAAATACAGGTAATGCATTAGTCAGAGTGCAATTTGTACCTGGAAATTCTTTCCCAATAAAAGCTAAATTTTTAATGGCAAATGTTAAGGGAATTTATTCCATATTGAAAGTGTTTCATTAAAGCCTTCCAGATACAAGATCTTGGCCCAACAAACTCTCAGTACTCTCCGTATCACTAAACCAGCAGTTTCCAACTGCTGCCCAGTGGATTGGCAACACCCCTGAATCCACCTTCTGCAACAGATGGCAAATGTTTGGCAAGGTACACACTTCTAGGCTTCACTTCATTTTACTCAATTTCTTCAATAAACCTGCATACAGATTCTTTATTAAAAAAATACGCGGGTAGTGTTCTGCTTTGATGTGTAAATGTTTCTGAAAAGAAATACACTTCACATTTTTTAAGACTAAGCAGACTATTAGGCTTCCAGGCTTAGAGAACCAAATGTAAATACATTGTTCAGCTCTACCTGAATTTCCACTTCTGTGTACAACTCTCTCACATAATGCTAACCAGTAGCAAGTCAGTGATATTGCCTTTTGTAATTATTTCAACAATGACTTAAAACAGAAAGAAACAGAAAGATAAATGGATAGCATTTGGCTTGAGTCTGCTTCCCTTTTTTCTTTCAAGGACAACAAGGTGAGGGGAGAGGGTGAAGCCAACAAATCAGAGAAGGCTTGTTGAAACATACTCTGTTCAAGCAGCATCTGTTGTAACATGTCCCATTGCCCCTATGAGACAGACAACACATTTTCTTTCCTCTGCTTTGGTGTAGGAACACTGACACAGAACTATGCTTCCCCAAACTGGAAACCTGGAAACCCTTTTCCTTTGAGGTTTTGTGGGTGAGCATTCTCCTCTGGCAGGGAGTAGCATAAGCTTGCTTCTTCTCCTAGTGAGCATTTGGCAATTCCAGCAGGGAGTTTATTTTGCTGCTCCCGCAGTTTAGCATGTGCGTGGGAGTCTCCTCCAACTGAACTGTTCTGACCTACAAAACTGTATTTCAGGAAAGCTCTAAATTCTCTTTTCAGCAATATCAAGCTGTGCAATCACTTGCTATATCAATACCTACCAAACACAGGAATGAAAGTGCTCAAATAGAAAAATGGGACATTGTTTGCAAGGGGAAATGGAGGTTTAACTCTGATATTTTGTGTAAACTTTGACCAAGATTAGGGCGATTGCAAACCTGATTTCCCTCCAGGCAGCCCTGATTTGGCTTTTACCTTCTACGCCTATGTAACAAAGCTTGAAGTTTATCCCTTTTTCTCAATTCAACCCTCTGCTGTCATCTTTGCCTTTTAACCTTCAGGTTAGACTACACACTTCACTCTATACAAGACTACTTTCAGAGCCACTCAGTTACCTTGAGCTTGTGCATAATGCAACAATCTTTCTGTTTAATGGATGGGTCAGTCTGTTCCTGTTACATGCACTACACTGGCTTCCCATCTGTTTTGCATTCACCCTGCCTTCCTACCTTTAGTGATCTACATTTGGGACTTGCTACCTTGGGTACGCTTCCCACTTTATGTACGCACTGAAGACTGAAATCTACTGAAAAATATTTCAGAGCACCATTTCAATCCCTTCAGCTGAGCAAAGGGCATTTACTTGAGGCAAAGCCATGGGCTTCCCAGCTTGCAGGGATCTCACAGAAGCCAGAGTAAAGCCTACTTATTCAGCCAGCCTTGCTGTGGTATGCATAACACAACCTGAAATTCCCAGAGAAGAATTTGGCAAAGCGGGGTCAGAATACTGCTAAATACTTCCTCCTGTGAAGGCACGTGGCCAAGGGCTCCACCTTCCATTACTGTGACTGAAAGTGGCGTACAAAGGGAACATGGAAATCTCATCTCTGAACTTTTCTTCTTCCCTTTTATTTCTTGGCTGTTTGTCGTAAATATAAACGGGATCTAAATTTGTGGATATGATGCACTAAGATGACATGACATTCAAACTATAGAAAAGAATCTGCTTACTGGCAGCCAAAACTGAATCATGAGGAGAGGCAAGAGTGAGAACAACCAGGACACATTGCTTAAGCAGGGTCCCTGGCCTTCTTCATCTGCCAGCATCCCTGGGAGCGCAGTGGAGGGAACAGCCTTGATTCAGCCCAACAGCTGATGGGTCATCCCAGAAACTGGGGAAACAACTCTCAGGCTATGGCTGTCCTCCACAGATGTGAATGTCATCACATCAGACACCAAGATCGCTGAATTTCAAAATGCACAGCAGTCAGGGAATGATGGCACCAGGCTTTCTTTCTCTCTGATTATTGGCTATTATAAGAAATGGACATTTTTTCTTTAGTTTTATTTATATAGGATGTGGTACCTGACTTACATAGCATTTGTTCTGCAGAGCTTCCCTGTCTCAAAAAAAAAATTTTAGACTGGGTTTTCTAAAGTACTCTAAGTTTTAGTAAAAGACTCGCTCTTCCAGCACAACTCTTWAAACCACTTCTACATCTGACATAACCCTCCGTAACCTCACAACTCAGGGCCCTTCACTATCCTGTAGCCTCCTTTTCCTCCTCCCATCTTCCTATTATTCAGGACTGAATGTGCTTCTGGCATCATTCTCCAATATCAATTAGGAGTAATGCAAAATTTGCCACATTATTGTAGGGTAGGAAGTATTTTTATATATGTATCACAAACAAATTGGATTTTCATAATGAAAATTTTGTACAGACACAAAAACAGCTTCTGACATCTAGCAGATGATTTTCAACTACTGATGTATGCGTACAATGATTCATTCTTAAGACAGGCACTGTATTGCTCGGTTTAACTGACAAAATCATAATTTTCTTACTTTTTTCCTTGCCTTAAAACAGTATAGCAACCAGTATAATTTGTACTTTCACCTTGCTTCTTTTTCTCCTTTTTATTGCAATGTATGCAATAATGAAAAGAGCATTTTCAATGTATATTGAAATATATGAAATGTATATTTTCATATTCCAAAATTGTTTCTCTTAAATTAATGGAAACCAAAAAATATTTAGTAGATTGAGCAATAAAATAATATGAAATTTTAATTTAAAATGTTAAAAATCTTTTAGGTGTATAAATTATGCTTATTTGAAAGTATCASTATGTATTAAAGATGGGATTTTATAGAAAGAATAACACAAAGCATGTTTGAAACCCAACTGGTTTGTTTAGTTACTGAAGGTATCATTTGCTGAATTTAGGGTTCTTGTTACTGGCTACTTCATATTTGTTGTTCTCTAGTGGCATTTTCACTGGCTGAAACAAGAAGGACATTCTACAGTATGTTCCAAAGTACAATTAGAGAGAACTTGTTTCTTTAAGAAAGTAATACTTTTGACCTTACACAATGAAATATTACTGATGAAAAAATAACATGATAAAAGATTGACTTTTCCCAGAACAAAAAAAAAAAAATAGTTTAGAAATTCAATATGAAGAAACAYTTCCTAGAATTCCTGTAATTAAAAATTTTAAAGGGACTGCAGGAATCTCTCTATTTTTCTTTTAAATAAATTCTTGGGAACCAAATGAAAAGTGAAATATATATTATTTAGCTGTAACTTGCTAAGCCATAGGAGTAGGTACAAAATGTTACATCCGTCACTGGTTCCAGTGGGCTACTTTATTGGGATTACGTTGAAGTGGTTTTACATACCAGACTATCCATCTTCGGGACATATTTAAGGGTTATCATATAATCATTTGGGAGATTTCCAACCTACAATAAACAGATAATAAAAATGTTATTACTTACTACACAAAGTAAGACTTCATTTCCATTACTGCATTGAACAAAATCTACCAAATAGTCAACACAATTTTCAGCAATTTACCAGGTGCAGGCAAAAGAGGTTACTTACATACTCAGTTTCCTGTGGAACTGCTATTGACCCTTATTTGCACACAAGTGAACCATCTTTCCACAGCTCTGTAATATGGTCAGATCTGATCTAATCTGATCATGTTCAATGTTACTGTTTCCCAGCAAAATTAAAGTCAACAATGGGTTGAGAAGAAATGATCTGAGGTTGTTCATTACTGCAGAAACTCCACTGCCTTTCCATTTTTTTAATGCCTTGAAGTGTTTGCATGACAATTTCTACTGTAGCTACCAGAGGACCCAGAAGTATCTAGCCCTTTTTCCTTCAAATAATTTTCAACTTCAACGTGCATCTGAACCTAAATACTTGTCTGCCTTCTGCTTTGTTATGTACCAGGTAGAAAAACATTTGAGCACAACTTTAACTTTGAAGTTGTACCTCTTACTAATGAAGAGCAATATAATCATAGTAATGCCCTGGGACAAAGGAGAGCTTCCACACACGTAAGCTGAGTGCAATTTTGCAGATGTGGGTGAGCATGAAGTGTGCTGCAGCAAAGACAAGGAGTGGAAGAAGGGTCCCCACTGAATTGTACAATACAATCTGCCACACATGGGATCCAACACTACTGTGAGACATGGTGGAATATCTGGAGAATGTGCTGAGTTGGCAGATGAACAGTACAACAGACACTGGACTGCAACAAATCCACAATCTTCTGAAGTCTTTTTTCAAAAGGTTTACTTATAATATGATGCTTAATGATACAGTAAACATTTTCTATTGATGAAAGAGTCATTTGATATTTCTCATCCAGGTTTGCATCCGATATGCACAGATGTAGCTCCTTCAGTGCAAAAGCATTTCTACTTCAGGTTAAAGATCATTCTGTTACGGCTGCTTTTGATTCTGCTGCTATAGCAACCAGCACAGGGTTTTGGKTTTTTTTTTCCCTTTTGCAGTTTTTAGGTAGTATTTTGTGTGACAAAACATTTTATTTGTTAATTAAAATTTTGTTTCAATTAAAAATTAAAACTATTTCACAATGTTATGGTTCTAAAAATGATCAAGGGCAATACTTATAAACAGCCACAGGTGAATTCTAAACACTTGTTTTTCATTTATAAGGGCTAAGCCACGATATTACAGCTCAATGATATCTATCTTTCTCCTACAGCTTTAAAAGAGTTACTATACAAATGATCCTGGTACATTCTTTTCCATAAAAAAATTTTGCTTGTTCTTGTATTCTTGTTTTATTTTTATCCCTACACATTCYCAAAGCAGAAGTGTCACTCTATATTAATTTCTATTTACATGGCATTTTGGGGACTTGATTCAAGATGCTATAAATACAGAAAAATATTTCAATACATTTGTTTTCTCTTTAAAGCATTATAAAGATTTATTTTAAATCCTTATCCAAACCTTTTGTCTATTACTCCTTTCTATAAAACATCATGGCATGGTGCCATACTAATAGGTATTCCTTTGTTTTTTCTAGCTTCCTTTGCGTGCCTAGAGATGTAGAATTAGCAGCACTTCAAGCAGCATAGACAGTGAAGATGCTCTTCCATGTGCAAAGTTTCCCATACTCACTCTAGAGGGATTCCATACTTAGCAACGCCAGCAAAACCACTGTTCTTTAAGAAAGGTCACTGGTAGATTAAATTTGTTCCATATCAATGAACACTACAAGAATTGATATGCATTATGTATACAATCTATTTTCCCGGCATCAGAGCCTGTCAAGCACCTTTCGTGCACAGTTAAAAAAAATTCAACTGCCCAAGAGCTTTTCCAGCTTCTTAATCAGAGCTGGAGCATACAGCTCAGCTTCAGATATTTTTCTCCTTGACAGACTGTGAATCAGATACGATTTTTTTGCATTTACTACTAAAAATGAAAATCACTGAGAGGAGGGTGTCAAAGACAAAATATATGCCCTGCCTCAAGATAAAACTTGTTAAAGTTTTGTTGACTGAACTCCACATGTCAGCTGGTAAACGATGGATCTCAGTCAAAGTGAGGGAGTTACATTTGTGTCTCACTTGGACCTCCCAGCTCACACATAGAAAATGGGGTAAAGCCCCTGATGTGAGAGYGAAGGATATTTCTATACTAGATCTGCATTTTTGTACTCTCTTGCTTTCCTGAAATGTTGAAATTTTGTTGAACACTAGCTACCAAGACTGTGATCCAAACTCAACCACTTGATTTTCATTTGCTGAAATTATCCTAAAAGAAATGAGTGGACTCTGCGCACCCAGTTTGCGCAAGGTGCCTGACTGATGTGGCTTCCAACAAGGAGCAGATGACAAAGTGGCTCTGACCTGCCTGAGCAAAGGTGTTTGGAAAAAAAACTGTTCCTTGAAACCACCTGAGTCCTGGAATGGCTTTATTAGTTCCTCTACCCAATAACACCTGCCTGCATTACTTATCCTAGTTTAAACAGAAGTAACAGTTTTGATGATTATAGAGAATCTCAGCTGATAATCTTGGAAAGGAATGTAGAGAACTAAAAAAACCCCTGCATTGCAATTAAAATGTCACAAAAATTTTCTCTGAYGTAGTGAGTGTGCGTGATTTCAGAAATCCTAATAGGCTCTGAGAAAAGGTGAAGAGCAGGCAATCTAGACTTATGTCTTTACATCCATATAAAACCAACATTAAGTGCTAGTCTTCCAGTTGTAACAAAATCTCAAGCTGGGGAATGTAAGATTACTTTTGACATAGAGAGGTCTGAATATTTAATACAGCAGTGTTAACATTGCATAGCCCAAATGCGTTTTAAAAAATAGTCACGGTCACAAAGATGGGGAGGTGAACAAAGGATGTAAAAGTGATTTGGTTTCCATAAACTACTCTTTCATCACAACAGACATGAGAGATGACCTATCTGCAGTCATGCGCTTTGAGATGAGGGCTACTGCACTTTAAAATTCCCTTTATTGTGACTGTTATGAAAATTATAAGGAGGCAAGCTTAGACATAGTTTTATTTATACACATACAAAAGATAAAGTATGTCAATTAAGTAAAAATTACCATTTTTCATTGCTAGTGTTTTCTTTTTCACTCTGAAGCATACAATGGAAAAAAAAAAAAAAAAAACAAAACAAAACCCTTTTCTTTTGATATAATTTCTACCTTGAATTTCTATTTGTTTCCCTTTTCCTATTTCTTTCATAGAATTATAGAACYRTTTCAGTTGGAAGGGACCTTACAGATCATCTGGTTCCAACCCCTTTTCCACAGACAGGGACATCTTCCACTACACCAGGTTGCTCAGAGCTCCATTCAACAAAGTATTCACACTTCCAGAAAAGGGCCATTCACCACTTCTCTGGGCACCCTGCTCCAGTGCCTCCCCATCCTTACAGTAAAGAATTTCTCCCCTATATCTAATCYAAACTTCCCCTCTTTCAGTTTAAAGCCATCCCCCTTTGTCCTGCCCTACAWAGGCATACTATGTTTTGACCTTTTCAAAAGTCCCTCTCCAGTTCTTTGTCTTCCTCACTGCTTCCCTGACTTTTCTTTTCCTGCAGGAACTTCCACTGTCTGTCCATCATCTCTGCAATCTACTCTATTTCATCTGCTAAKGAAGTAGTTAATAAAATTTTCATCATTTGGCTTAAGACAACATGCTAACGATTTCCGTTCACACTTTTTACAGTCATAGTGGCAGATTATTTGCAGCATAACAACTCTGGATAATTTTTTATATCCCCTTCACTCAGGAGAGTTAGATCTATTTAAAAATAAAAAGAAAATGTTGCAGAGAGTGTAAAGTACATATTTACAGCAAAGATGTAATGTGAAAGCAAAGGATTTGAAAGAGCATGTCTCAAGCAAGGAAGCTGGTCAGTAAATCCTGACTATTGTTTGGGCTTCCAATATTGAAAAGAAGAAAATTGCTCCAGAAAAGTAGTTCATGGAAGAAGAGGGGGTATCTTAGGTTTTGTTAATGGACAAAACAAAAATATGCAAATATATTCTGTATATCCTGCACAGGTCAGTGAAAATTCTATTTATATGTAGGTTTGATGTTGATATTTAACAAACATATATACAACTGGTTCCTAATTCTTATGCAAAAGCAAATTCACTATTACAGCAATGCAGYTTTCTGCTGATTTACTGTGCTGAAAAGAACAATGGGGACAGACTTTATTGACAGGTGCTGCAATTACAGTTTCATAATATGGAACATTTGCTCATCAACTAATGTGTTTCCCTCCAGACATCTTCATTACAAAAGAAGCAGGAGTTCAAGTGATGACTAGTGTAGAATGAATACTCTCTAAATACTTTCATTGTCTATAGGTATGAAATTATKCTCTTTTTAAAGCTCTCACTATTAAAAAGCAAAGAAAAATAATTGTTCAATTGTTCTTTGCTTCTTAAAATCRTTTTACTTAGGATATATTCTTTATATGACAGAATTATATTACCTAGATGTGAATAAATTTAATGTTACAAAAATACAAGTAATTTTTTTATAAACTGGTTTGGTCTTAGACTGATTAATGCTCAGAAACCTTATGGTTATTGAATTGCTTTCTTTCCAATCCTATCTTRCAGTGTGAGTCTAGCATGATGCTAGTGAAAATCCAGATTAAGACCATTGAAAACAAGTTATGCCACACATCTGTCCTCAATTTATTACTCAACACAAAGTTGATTAGGCAAATGACCCACATTTTCAGGCACTGCACAGCATGCCTTGCTTATTCTCCAATAGCTTAGGCTTAGTAGACATTCCRTGTCTATATTCGAAGAGGATCTTGACTGAGGCATGTTCTCATATCCCTATAATACAACAAAGCTGAGCAGAACACAGCCACAGTCATGCTCGGGTGTTTTCTACGTGGAGGGGGTTTACAGTAGTTGGAGCAAGCCCAGTGGCAAATAAACAAAGACTAGGCTGTAGGGAATTTTGGCACTGTTTTACAAGCTGKAGATGTGTTGCAGTAGAAGTGTGTGTGGGGAAGTTAAGTGCAGAAAAAGCAAAATTAGGGACATGGATTCRTGCTGTTAAGAATTTTAGCATGAGATAGGAAGAGGATGAGAATCTGCCCATAGCTCGTCAAGGAACATCCTTCCTGCAGTCACAAACAGTGGATACTATGGAAATAATGAGGAGAAGCTGAGGGCAAACTCAGCATGTGTTATGACAACACAGGCAGCATTATTAGTACCTTTAAAGATAAACCAAAGAAGCTTGCCATTGATAGTGAAAAAAATAGGAAGAACAGCTTGAAGGAAATAAGTAGAAAATAAAGGGTCAGAGCAGCATGTGAACAGACAGAAGAGTAAAACTACAGAAGTTGAAGCTAGAAAAAGATTTTTCATAGACTGGATTTTTACCCACCATAAATTTGGAAGAAAAATATACTTGTATGTCCAGAGAACTACAAAAAATTTTTTTCTACTTATGACAAGAAAAAGAATGAAGGTTTTGAAAGTGAACTTTGAAGGGTCTGTGAAGCATAAAGAGCCAGATCAGACAGCTTTGTTATAGACCTGAATGGCTGGGCAGAGATGGTGATGTAACTTTACAGTGAGGAGAAATGGCCCAGGAAAAGCTAATGTTCTGGGGAGATGAAAGAGATCATAGTCTGCCTCAGTGGAGGCTTCAGACCAAGCTGAATTTAGGCTGATGTCTAAGAATTTGTTATCAGACAGGAGGAAGAGAGACCAGCGTCCTAAGCCAAGTGCTGGGATTTGTGTACCGCCACTGTACAGACAGTTTATTGCACACAGAGATGGGAGGATACTCACAGTTGTGGACAAAAAGGGTTAAAGAGCATGACAGCAGTCATCGCTGAGAATAAATYATTTAGGAACAACTATTGCACTGTTGCCAAGCATGACAGAGCCTGTGGGTAACATCATAATAACTGCGTAAAAAGTGTACACACAATACTTCTGTGAAATCCTCTGGGCTGCAATTTGTTCTCAGTATGAAAGGGGAGGATATTTATTAAACACCCTATGTTCTACAGGCATAGATTCTTTGGATCACTAAAGAAATAAAACTTTTACTTAAAGGCCAATAGGATCTCCAATCAGGGAAAGGCTGTGGGTGTTGTCTGCCCGGAGGAAAAGGACCTGGGGGTGCTGGTTGACAGGTGATCGAACATCTGCTCAGGTGGCCAAGAAGGCCAGTGGCATCCTGGCCTGTATCAGCAATAGTGTGGCCAGCAGGACCAGTGCAGTGATTGCTCCCCTGTACTTTACACCTGTGAGGCCACAGCTCAAGCCTTTTGTCCAGTTCTGGGCCCCTCAATACAAGGAAGGCAACAAAGAAGGGCAGAAAGCTGGGGAGGTATATAGAGAGTGAGTCCAATGAGGAGGAGATGAGGAATTGTGCAGCCTGGAGAAAAGGAGGCTCAGGAGACACCTTATTGCTCTCTACAAATGCCTGAAAAAAGGCTGTAACATGATGGGGGGCAGCTTCTGCTCCCTGGACAAGAATAAATGGCCACCCAGGGAGGTGGTGGAGCTGCCATTCCTGGAGGTGTTTGAGAAACATCTGGGTGCTGTACTCAGTGGTATGGTTTAGTYGGTAGTTTGGCCAAAGGCTGGGCATTCCCTTAGAGGCTTACTGATTCTGTGATTCTGATAAAGAACCCAACCACCTATGTGTGCAATGTCAAATTGTGAAGATACATGCCATCAGAATATCATTCCTTAATTCAATTAGTATATTGTGTTTCAAAAAGCAGAAATGGTACAAAACTTTTACTGTAATTTCCAAGAGTTTTAGGGTCTCCTGATCCATATCTTTAAGTAATATCATGTTGGAGTCCTTTTCATATGTACTAAGGATATACTTCATAGAGCATAAAAAAATCCTCTACTTGCTGCAATGTATCAGTCAGTATTCTCTTTCTCCTTTCTCACATTCACACTGTCAGCTAACAATGTTTTGCTTTTAACTCTTTAACTCTTTAAACTCTTTAACTCTTTTAACTCTTTAACTCTTACTGTGCATTTTTTTCATTTTATTCCCAACGCCAAGTTGCCATGTTGTAGGATTTCAAAAGAGAATGACCAACATGCAATAAAATCACATTATTGAAACAGAAACTCTTATACTAAACTGAAGGTACTAAACTTATTTTTGCCTTATCCTTTTAATTCTTGAGTGATTTATTGAAATTATTTCTGCAAATATTAATACAAACAAAACAGGGAGACAGAGTTTACTCAAAATATCCTCCGAACAGCTCATGCAACTCAAAACAGAGGGAATCCATGTGTCTGAGGTTTTGTACTTTCTGCATCTCACTGTTATTTCTCCAACCCAAAGTATCTTTGAACTTGCTAGTCGCCTTCACCTGAATTTATCCTTTATAGGGAGATGTGAAAATATGGGTGTAAGTCAGGAGAAGGACATACAACATCCTCCTGGAGGAGTGTCCAAAGAAGCTCAGCCCAACCCCACTCTGCTCAGGCTTGACAGCAGCAGAAGAACAATACAACCTGGACAGTGTGATTACTTAAGCTGCTTGTATATTTTTTATAAGCTATATTGCTAACCTTGCACTACACAATTTCACCAGCCCTCACAGGAATTCTGTTGCTCTTGCTTGCTTTCAACAGTTTTACATCAAAGTTTAATACTCTTCCAAGAGATGAAATATTATTTGGAATAAATATGCCAATACTTCAAAATTCTGCCTAAAGGGACTAATTTGAAGCACTAAACATTTAAGTAGGACTATAGGGCACCCCTAGAGATTCACATTATGTGCCAATGTTTATGAAAAGGACCAAAGAAAACAAGAACATTGCACTGGCAGCAAATGCTAGTGGCTCCAATTTAMGTGTTTGATAATAACGAAACTGATGTTGCAACTGTTTCCCCATAATGACATTTTCAGCTACATTCAATACGTAGATGAAGATATGCTTAAGTGTTCAGTACATATTATTTCTTAAAAACTTSATTGTTACTGCCTTGATTTCTACAACAATATCTAATATCACAGTATTTTTATATATGGAACAAGTCTTTCATACACCCGAGGTAAAGACTTCTGCTTCAATTCAGTTGCACTTGTCACCAGTCTGCTCCATGCAAGTCAGTAACAAAAAGACAATAATGTTTCATCTGCATGGGAAACAATCTGATCTGACAGAATGTTTGAGGAAATAAAGATTTTTGACAATTTTTACTGAAGTTGGAGAGAGGAAACTATATACGTATATATACTCCATCTTGGTCAAGGTGACCTCTTCAATTAACACTGCAACTACTCTCCAGTCACTGCAAAAAAAAAAAATTTGTTCAAGTGACAGATGCTGGTGGACTTKAATTTTTTGGTAATATTTCCTTGGTTCTAATACAGCTTTACTAACTTCGCTTAGAAATGTAAGCGCCCTTAGACATCAACTATTAGAATAATGTAAAATAAAAGATACTTACCAATTTTGCAATGTCATTCACATCATCTGTGACTGGATTCCCGCAGGAACTCTGGGCTTTGACAAGAGGATTAAGCAGGAGCAGTTGAAGACAAAAGCAAGTGGTAATCCAAGTCTATTTAGTAAAAAAAGAAAAAAGAAACAAGAAATTCCAAGTAAGCAATCGCCAAACAGGAATTAGTAAGAGATTGTAGCAATGTTTTTTGTATGTGAAATCTACAGGCAACAATATTCTTTATCCTTCATGAGGGCACACTTGTACGATTATAGTGTCATATTCATGGCAGGAATCTACAAAAATGCACTTAACTGATTTTTTCTGGAAACAATTATCTTTAGGCTAATAATGAACAGCCTAGTATTGAGCCATCAGGTTACATGCACAGGATCATGCTTGGTTGGATTTTGCAAAGTACAGATACCAAAGAAGAGAAAGATATAAACTTTGCAATATTATTTAACAACAAAATAAAGTTGACTACATACTTGTCATTCTCCTGATAGATTTGCATCTCTGATGCGATAAACGGTAAGGAACAAAATTATACCAAAATTATACATCAAGGCAGAAGGACAAAGTTCATAATCACAGCCATTTCATTTGAGTGCTTAAACTGCAAGCAAACCCACAACTGGACTCTGCCCAAATATTGTCATCTCAAGCAGCAATGCAGTACATTTTCTCCAAGTGATGTGCTCTGGACTCTCAGAAGTGCCAGCTTAACTTTGGCACTACATTCCCCTTCTAAATCCTACTGGAAACAGCACTGCAGTGTACTCACACAGGCTTGTGAGACACAGAAAAGCACCAGATAAGTGGCTGTGATGCACCTGGGTGTCTCCTTGGCTACACTGACTGAACTTCCTCGCCTTCTGTTGCTCCTTTTGCTTCACTGGTTTCCCACAGAGCCCCGTGCCAAGTTTAAGCTGCAGATCTTTATTTCCAGAATGTTAAACCATTTAAGTTATGGATAATCAAAAGTTGCCTCGGGTTGCGAAGCTTCTTGTGCCAGCTGACTGAAGCTGTCAGCAAAAGCCGATGATGGTGTACATTTACGGCAAGTATGGAATTTGCCTGTGCAGGCTCCTCAGCCTCCATAAGGGCAGGACTCAGATCAGAATTTGCTTTTGCACAAACCAAGATACAGCTCAGCTCTGTCTGTTCTGTGTGACAGGTAGAGAACTCCTGCCTCCACCCTTGCCTTCATATGCGTTCCAACCTTTCTATTTAAGTCCAAAGGTAATGTAACAACAGAGACAAAATTCTCTAGGAAAACACGAGAAAAATCACAGATTAAAAAGATGAAGTATAATTATAGTAGTCTAGAGGGCCTAAGAAAGAATGATAATAAAGACTGCTTAGCAGCTATATAAACTTGACAGAACAGTGCCAGGCACTTTWCCTAAAAGAGCTGTTAAATGACAAGAATAATCTTTTTCTTGTATCTTGTATCTCTTAAATCCTGTATCCATCCTACAAGCTCAGCTGCCTCTCATGTGAATGCCCCATAGATGTGGCCTGTGGGATTGGAGGTTCCACAGCTGGGCCAGTCTGTGTAAGGTAGGAGGGGTGTTCAGTGCCTTTGACCAGAGGTCACCCCCAAAACCTTCTCTCCCTGCCCCCATTTCAGGGAGGGTAGGGAGTCTGTAAACCTGGCTTCTGTGGGCTGTGGTCTCACCCATCCCAAATCTAGCCAGGGAAAAGTCTCTGCTGAATTTGGCTCTCTGGAGGATGCATTCCTTTCCCTTAGCCTTGTTTGTTTCTCCCTGGACTGAGCTGATTGAACAATGGTGTCTTATCTTGGCAGCTTAACTTACAGTCCAAAGTCCCAGCCAGGGACTTCAGGGAGGCTTCTTTGCTTGTAGCTTCTTTATGCAGGTTTTTCAAATAATGCTATAAACTTTATATCAATGTTTGAGGCACGGACTCTTTCTGTCTCTGACACCTACATAGGCTCCAGAATCACAGAGGAAACCAAAGGTGACCTCAAGTTAACAGGCTACCTCCTCATTCACAACTTTTTAAAATAAATTATCGTAAAAAAGGCAAGAAGTTAATGACAATTAGCTTCAAAATGAACTAACAATACTGCTTTCAAGAATAAAAACTGAGTAGTTCAACCTTTGGAGTAAAACAGTGCCTTAGCATTTACATTTCCCTGATGTGTTCATTGGAGATGGAGCTCACACCAGGAACTGACAATTTCTTTACTGGATTTCTCAGTATTGATCAGTATGTAAAGATGGGATTTGTACACCTAATTGTGTCACAGTCATAGGATGATGCTCAATCCAGCAGTCTAAAAATCAAAAAAAAATAACAAAACTCTTAAACTGGAAATACTTTTTCAGCAGATCAAGTAAGAAATATTAATAAACACAGTAGCACACTCCAAATAAAACCAGAACCTTTTTGCAACTTGTCAATTTTTGTACTTCTGAATATAAAGACAGCCCATACATGAAGCTTAAAATTGGTATACATTTTGTATTTGTAAATCAATAAGAATGTTTTTTCTCCTATGTACATAAAGGGATTGAAAAGCATAGAGATTTTATAACTGCTATTAAAAAAAATAACATTTGTAAATTCTGAGATTATTTGAGGCTTTTCTTGCTTATTTGCACCCTGTATCATCCATCAGGAACTGAAAATCTTCAAAACACTGCTAGTTTCAACATGTCTATTATCCAAAATCTTTTAATTATTTGCACTTACAAAATATTTATATTACACATGCCTTCAGGCACATTGTACGTAAGGACTGTACCGATCAAAGAGCTGAGCTATTTTTGTGTTATTTACTAATGACCAAACCTGCTGTTTGAGCAAAACTTGAATAGACTGAATTAAATCAAGGACAGAACAAAAGGGAACCTTAAACAATAGCTTTATGAATAGAGATGCCAGTTTTATACTTCATTAAGCGTAAATAAAAGTTACCTACACAGCACTCATAACAGATTTCCATATTTAATTACCTTTAAGTTAACATGTGATTTTAAAAAACTGGCCTCAGAATTTAATCACACATCTTCTATTAGCATTAAATTGAAGATAGTGGCAGACAGGAGGCAGACCTGTATACCAAAGRGCCTCTTCCTGTTTTTGGCTCAAAAATTGTTCAATTGTTTTTAAATTCTGAAATACCTGAAAGACTGAATATGTAAGTTTGTTAAAGGGCAAAAAAATAGTGATTATACTGAAAAAGATAATTAAAACTAAATATTTCAAATATACATACAAGTTTGATTATTCTGCAAATGAATCACACTATTGTCTGTAAACCACAATCTAGAATTTCAGTAAACATTTTAGAAACTTAGCTAGTGAGCCAATGTGTTGAAGACCACCCTTTCAGTTGTAAATCAACATCTTTTTCATTTCTGTTCTTCATTTATGATCTGAAGTGTTGACAAAGGCTGCTGAATGAGTGGTTTATCATCTCTTTCACAGTATACTAGGAACGATATCCAATCATGTTAATGTTCAGCTAATTGCTTAAGTGGAAAGCAGCAAGGGGAATACCACATTGCTAAATAAGCCAAACTTTGGAAAGTCTGGACATTTCCAAGTATCTAGTTTTTCCTGATAACGCTTCTAATCACAAGCAGGGAGAAATCATTTAAAAAAAGCAAATAATAAACCACAAAAAACCATSAAGCTCAGGGAGGGGTAGCAACTATACAAATAAATGGGTTGTCAATTTTAAAATTTCTTGCATTCAAATAATATTAACCACGGAATTTTTTGGCCCAGTTTCCTCAGCCAATCATCCAATCAACCACAACCAAAACACAGCTGAAATAGGTTAGCTGCCAATGTGGAACAATACTGACCCTGAGCCAGGCTTCCCAAATTTATTTTTCTCTTCTGTTAATGCTGGAGTAGGAACATCTCTCAGTATTGGCCCCTCAGACAGTGTTTACATGCTGCTTTGCTGAGACACAGCTTGCGAACTTCTGCCACAGACAGCACTGGTTGGTCAGTCATGGATAGCAAACTTTGTGTTCATACTTATGCCTCAAAAAGGCTTTTGTAAGAAGATTCAGAGAAAATAAAAATAGCAAGAAAATATATTTCTTGTATTTTTTTTTTAACTAGAAAGCATCCAGATGTATAAAAGCACATTAATTCTTTCCTATGTCTACTAATCTATTTAGTTATTTAGCTGTGATAGAGATTAAATAATTAAAGGCATGGAAGAACTGTCTTCAACCAATTAAGAAATTAACTGCCAGAACAGAAAAATCCTTAAACGAAAGAAGAGCATTTATACTGAATGTAATCCAATTACCATTTTCATGGTATTCAGTGATACCTTCACACCAGCAAACAGTCCTAACTTCAGTACCCCCCATGGCTCTGGGGTAATTATTGCTCAAGTCCCCAAAAAAGTGAATTAAGTGTGGAAAAAGAAGTCACCCACCCACAGCCATCTAGTTCTGGAAACAATCAATTATTTTGGCAATCACATTTGAAACTGGCAATGTCCCCTACGTACTCTCAAATACTCAGGAAATTACTTCAGAGAAGCTGAAGGAACTTAACTCTGAATGATGTATAGTTAGTCATTAAGCCAAGTGTACCTGCCCTGTCCATCACAAGTGTCACCAGCCTCAACAAATCCAGCAGCTTATCACCTAGAGTGCTCTCCAAGTGACAGACCTGGAGATGAAATGTTACAGACATTTCMTGTAACCAAGACAGTTCCAGCTCATGGGAGTTGGACTATGCTCCTCTGACATACCAACCTTGTAATTATCACGGACTCATTGACTCATTTAGGTTGGAAAAATCTCTAAAATCGTCAGGCCCAACCATAAACCAGCACTACTAAATCCATCAGTAGGCCATGTCCCCAAGTGCCACATCTACCACAGCAGATGCTTTCCAATCTAAGATGGCTTCCTGGCTAAAAAGGGAAAACTAATGGCACGCTGGTATTCCTGACCCTTATTTTTCACATTTATGCATTTTATATTGTCAAACCAATGTGTAGAAAAATAGACATGTTCACTGAACAGGCATCAGAATGTGTATGTACATCCTTGTGTCACACATGCTCTTCCATCTGGGCACCCTAACATCTGGGAAGCTCCCCAGTCAACATG